CAGCAACACTGACACACAGCAACACTGACACACAGCAACACTGACACACAGCAACACTGACACACAGGAACACTGACACACAGCAACACTGACACACAGCAACACTGACACACAGGAACACTGAGACACACAGCAACACTGACACACAGGAACACTGACACACAGGAACACTGACACACAGCAACACTAACACAGCAACACTGACACACAGCAACACTGACACACAGGAACACTGACACACAGCAACACTGACACACAGCAGCACTGACACACAGCAACACTGACACACAGCAACACTGACACACAGCAACACTGACACACAGCAACACTGACACACAGCAACACTGACACACAGCAACACTGACACACAGCAACACTGACACACAGCAACACTGACACACAGCAACACTGACACACAGCAACACTGACACACTGACACACAGCAACACTGACACACAGGAACACTGACACACAGCAACACTGACACACAGCAACACTGACACACAGGAACACTGACACACAGCAACACTGACACACAGGAACACTGACACACAGGAACGCCGCAGGAATTATCGACCTTGAAGCTGGACCACGAAGAGTGCGGATGGGGAAGGCGAGTTATTACAAGGACGTCTCAGCTCCGTGAAACCGCAGCTCCTTTGACGCTCCCTTACACACGGAACACGGGGTGGAGATGCGGAACACGGGAGAGAGACAAGGAACACAGAAATGTACACGAGTTGAACTTGTTAACCATCAGCTGAATCCATTGTTTAACTAGAAGGGATAAGCTGTTGGATGTAAATCCAAACAAGGAGGTTATCTTGAGGTTATCTTGAGGTGATTTCGGGGCTTTTTTAGTGTCCCCGCGGCCCGGTCCTCGACCAGGCCTCCACCCCCAGGAAGCAGCCCGTGACAGCTGACTAACACCCAGGTACCTATTTTACTGCTACGTAACAGGGGCATAGGGTGAAAGAAACTCTGCCCATTGCTTCTCGCCGGCGCCTGGGATCGAACCCAGGACCACAGGATCACAAGTCCCGCGTGCTGTCCGCTCGGCCGACCGGCTCCCTAGACGGAGAGAGACGGACATGTACAGGAAGCGGCTGTCTAAACACAGACAGACAGGGAAACGTGAGGGACGAGAAGACAGAAGTGAAGAGGCTTTCCATCTTCCAGGACGCCACCCACGTTTCAGAAAGGACAGAACAAGAGCAGGTGGTGATGGTGGTGTGGCACTGTACATACAAGAGAACCTTGAGTGCAACCAGCAGTGAGGAACTAAACAACATGGGGCTCCTCAGGATCTGTATGGTAGCAACTTGAGAGTGGGAGCGTGCTAAAGATCAGTCATAGCTACAACACACCTGCATAATGTGATGAATTCTGCAACCCGTTCTCGCACTTGCTTATAGTCAATATTGGCTTATTAATAAGTGCATATGTGACATACTAATTTATTGTGAATATTTTAGTTTACCCTGAAAATCTTAATAAAAAACACCGACCTAACCTAACCTTCTTAGTATGTTAAGATAAGCATCTTATTGCTTCTTAATTACAATTATTACTTAACCTATACCTATATTGATATTATAGTTTTATAAAATTAATAAAACAAAACCAAAATATTTAAATAAATTGTAAAGTAACTCAGGAAATTCTGCAACTGAGGTCCAGGCTCTTATAATAGGGACTTTAATAATCACGAGACAATAACAGTGAGTAAATTTTAATATGACAAGCTGAGGGAGAACAATGTCTGGACCTGGTGCAGGACTCCTCTCTAATACAGCATACGACAAGAGCACACCTGATTTAACAGCATTTCAAAATCTTGTGCTAACATCAATAGTGTATGATCGATTAAATTCAGGTTAGGGAGAAGCTCGCCCTTTCATGCGACCATTTCTAAGATGGAATACAAATGTAGACAACCATATTAAGGTGCAAGACGATGACTTCCTAGATTACCCTACGGGCTCACCATAGCCCGTGCTGCTTGGAACTTTCTGTTGCAGGTAGCGAATCTTAAACAACAACAACAACCTAGATTACCTTGGAGGAGACTATCAGAGAATGAGACAGGAACTGTAAAATACCTCCTGGAGGGAGTTAATAGGAGATCAGGATGTGTAAGCTTCATGGAAATTTTTTCTTAAAACGTTATCACTGAACTTGTTGCAAAATACGCACTATACACTATAAAGGCACTATAAAGAGCTATAAACGAGACCTGAGGAAGATTTATCAGTCTGCCAATAATCACATACATTATGAGACATACAGAAGAGCATTAAATACAGCAACCTAGGAAATCACGTCTGCCAAAACTAACTACAAAAGAAAACTATCTCAAAACATTAAGAAAGGTCCAAAGACGTTTTATGCTTACATGGCAGTAAAACAAAGACAAATGACTCAGGTAGGTCCCTTAAAAGATGAGACCAACCAAGTTACAATTGTTATCTTGAGATGATTTCGAGGCTCTTTAGTGTCCCCGCGGCCCGGTCCTCGACCAGGCCTCCACCCCCAGGAAGCAGCCCGTGACAGCTGACTAACACCCAGGTACCTATTTTACTGCTAGGTAACAGGGGCATAGGATGAAAGAAACTCTGCCCAATGTTTCTCGCCGGCGCCTGGGATCGAACCCAGGACCACAGGATCATAAGTCCAGCGTGCTATCCGCTCGGCCGACCGGCTCCCCATACATTGTGGATACAAAAAATAGCTAACACTCTTATGAATACTTTACATCAGTGTTTTGCATCACTAGGAAGATTAGACAATATACCAATATCCACACAAATGTTTAAAGCAGGGGGGAAGAGAATGTGTCTTATGAAGCTAGGTTATGCTCAAGGTTAGGTTAGATTTAGTTAGGTGTAAGATTAGAACATAAGAACATAAAAATGAAGGTAAATGCTGATAGCCTATTGGCCCATGCGATGCAGCTCCTATATATATCCACCTAAACTCATTATATATATGTCTAATCTATGCTTGACTCTGTGACAAACATTTAATGCATTCACTAGAACACTATATTGTTGAATGTGAAATCGTAAAAGATTTTAGACCTCCTCGCCTCTTGTACCACCAACTGTGTAACTATTTCAGTGACTCAGGTGTTCTGGACGACATCCTAACAATTTATCATAAATTTGTTTGTCCATTTTAAAGAATGAAGAACAATTTTATTTATAATTTTTTAATTTGCATCACTTATGAACCCATCCCTGCCCTTGTGTGGCAGTGCACAATAGAAAGTTGTTTTTACATATTCACACATTAAAACATTGATTGTAACCATGATATATATGTGCTTCAGCCTACAGTTTAGACCTATTGTCTTGTGTATGACCCTCTGTCCTGCGTGACAGTGAATACCAGCATTATCCTCACTTTAATAAGACTTAATTGAAATCCTCAGATTAGGCAAAACTGTAATTAAATTTTGTCAATAAAGATGTTAATAATAAATAAATACGCTTGAAACAATCAAGGGATCTTACTTCTATCATGTTACGCGGTAATTGGTTCCACAAATCAACAACCCTGTTACCGAACCAGTATTTACCCAGGTCTTTCCTAAATCTAAACTTATCCAATGTATACACATTGTTTCATGTTCTATTGTGTGTTGATACTTTTAACACCTTATTAATATCCCGTGTCTGGGAACACCCAGGGCATGGGTTCGAGCCCTCAGCAAGGCCCTTGTGGATATTTTTAATTTGATATATCACGTTATTGTGATATCTGTGTAATCACCTAGTTGTACTCACCTGGTTGTGCTTGCGGGGGTTGAGCTATGGCTCTTTGGTCCCGCCTCTCAACCGTCAATCAACTGGTGTACAGGTTCCTGAGCCTACTGGGCTCTATTATATCTACACTTGAAACCGTGTATGTGAAACCACCACACACATGCGTGTGTGTGTGTGTGTGTGTGTGTGTGTACGTGCGTGCGTGCGTGCGTGCGTGCGTGTGTGTGTGTGTGTGTGTATTCACCTAGTTGTGCTTGCGGGAGTTGAGCTCTGCTCTTTCGGACCGCATCTCAACTGTTATCTAATCGATCAACTGTTACTAACTACTACTAATTAATTAATTTATTTATTTTTCTCTCCCACACACTCACAAACACCCAGGAAGCAGCCCGTAACAGCTAGCTCCAAGGTACCTATTTACTGCTAGGTAACAAAGGGCATCAGGGTGAAAGAAACTCTGCCCATTTTGTTTCTGACATCACCGGGGATCGAACCCGGACCCTAATATTACGAGCCCAGAGCGCTGCCCACTCAGCTATCAGGCCCCCAGTCCCCCCAGTGTGTGTAGTCTCCTAGATGTACTCACATTGTTGTGCTTGCGGGAATTGAGTTTCAACTCTTGGTTCCAGCTTTTCAAACATTATTCGACGGATGCATGTGTTGAATACTTTAGCCTGAACGACTATTTCTCTGAAATTGATTTGAGTTGCAATCTCTCTGCACATGATTCTTTATAAAACATTGCACTGTATATTCGTCATCTATGTATATTTTTGTGTTGCGTGTTCTAGCCATGTATCTTTCATATATTTATCTCTATGTATGATTATTATCACGCCATGAACCGTATGGGGACCATGGCACGGGGACTGAGATCATTTCAAATGATAGGTTAGGTCAAGCTAGGCGAGGTTAGGCTAGGCTGTGCAAGGCTAAGTTAGGCTATGCTAGGCTGTGTTAGGCTAGGACATTTAGCGTTGAGTCCATTCTATAATCTCGATCATTAATAACCGGTTTTCAGACAAAGTTCTCATATTCAATAAGTTTGCCATTTTTATATCAATATTTTCTTATATTTAACTATAAACTCAATACACAATACAATTTAAAATGTTCAAGCATTCACACGACGAACGGAGAATTTATCCGGGACGTGACAGAGTAAACATACATACTGTATATGCTGTAATATCATACAGCATCATACAGACACTTCGAAGGGACTCTTTTTACCTGCGCTTTCCTGTGTTGATCTGGCGTCTGTTGCCTGTGTTGCTGTGGCACCCGACGCCGGCTGTGATGCTAATGCGCACGTCACTTGTTTTGCTGTGGCGCACGTCGCCTCTGTTGCTGTGGCTCCCGTTGTGAGTTTATTGCTAGGACACCTGTTGCTGTGCCACACGGAGCCTTTGATCCTGCAGCCCGACACATTCAAATTTTCTCTGTCGCTCTTAGGTGCGTGTGAGTGTGTGTACCGCTGTGGCCGTCGCCTGCCTGTCTGTGTCTGTGTGTCTGTGTGTGTGTGTATGTCCGACCACGCTGACCGACGCGACCAGACTGACTCCACACTTGCCTGGAACCAGCGACCTCACCTCCAACACTCTCCCGCCTCATCCTGGACCTTTATCCCGTCGCCAACCTCCAAACTGTAATTTTATTCACGCATCCGCCTGGAACCTGGAATTTTCCACACCCACACACACACACGCACCCACATCCTCCTCCCCCCACACCCCATACACCCACACTCACACCCACATCCTCCTCCCCCACACCCCCACACCCCATACACCCACACCCACACACCCCGTGTGGGGCGTTTTCACACGCTCGCCTGATATCAGGAATTTTACCCACACATCCCCCATTTTATTATTATTCCTATACTCACATGGCCATCTAGAACCTAGAACCTCACCTATAAACACATTAAGAACTTAAGCCATTCGCACATCTACTGTAGAGCCAAGGCAGTATATCCAATACCGCCAAAAAGGTCAAAACTCTGTTAACCTGTTAACCTTTAAATTACAGCTGGGAAAGATCATCAAAGCAAATGGAGGGAGGGGACCTTCGACAAGCCACCGGCTTCCTGTCCTAAAGGCCACTAGTGTTAGTGGCTCTCAGGTAAACTCGTGTAAATAATAATGTATATAATAATAATAATAATAATAATAATAAAAATATACACCCACATCACACAAAACCTATAACCTAACCCACATGGTAGGTCAACTAACCTAACCCACACAAGAGCCTCCCCCTAACATAACCCACGAAGAAAACCTCACCCACCTAACTTAATCTCCCCTACACGTGTACTTGGAACCTCAAACTCACCAACTATCGGCCTAGAAGCACCAGCCTGGCATAAGGAAAATAAATAAGGATCCCTCCTAAACAGCAGAGTCTCATAAACGAGCCTTACACGTCAATCATTCTCCAACCTGGCATCTGGAATCTCTATATCCAGGGGACACGTGGGATTCTACACCCCCCTCCCCCATTTTTCTAACGAACACTATCTCCTTGTGTTGTTTTTAACCACACAAATGCCTGGAGCCTTATACCTCACCCTAGCACCCACTTAAACCCTGGAACCTCATCCATGTCCAGCCTGGAGCCTCATACAAGAACCACTCATCCACCAGCAATGGACTCTTACACGTATGAGCTTAAAACATGGATACACATACATCTTCCTGGAACTCCATACACAAACATCAGCTCAAACCTTGGGAACGTGACCATCTATTCGCCTGGAAGCACACTCAGGCATCAACCAGACACCCGTCTGGAAGCATGCTAATACACCCACATACAGCCACCACCATACACCAACCAGGTGAGCGCCACGTGATAATCAATTGACATTTCGCTGTAGACTTTAATAGGCGCTTGGTAACTTATCAGAGGTTGAGTGTGTTTAAACGTGTTGAATGGTATTAAATGTTTATACGTGTTGAATGGTACTAAATGTTTATATGTGTTGAATGGTATTAAATGTTTAAACCCAGGATGAAAATGAGCCTTGACAATATGTTCTTTGTCCAGCGGAATATGACCTCTGTTCCACCCTTGTGTCCCTTGTGACACCCTCTCCAATATCACACACCCTTCCTGTCACCCTTCCTTGCCACCCTTCCTGCGACCTCTCCCTTCCTACTCTTCCTCAGTCCTCCCTCCCATTCAGTTCCCTCCTCTCCCTCTCTCCACCCCCACGCCAAATAAATAAATAAATACATAAACTTGTGCCTTCCATAACATCTAATTCTCCGTTCTGACTCTACCTCTTTTCCTTTATTTAGAACATCCCTCTCTCCTTCTCTCCCCTTCCTTCCTCCTTCCCTCCCCTCTCTCCCTCCCTTCAGTCCCTGTAAACCGTCCTTGTTATCCATCGTCACTCTTGCATATCTCTAGTTTGTTTAGTCCCTTAGTCTCTTAGTCCCAGTACCACTACATAACTTAAAGAAGTCCAACTGAAAAGAAGACTTCAATCAGTGGGAGGCCAGGCGCTTAGAAGAGCAGGAAGCTATACCGTCCACCACGTGACCAGACACCCCTGAAGCACTGTGAAGCCCTCAACACACTCACCACGCTACCACAGCCAGCCTCCAGGAGTGGTATACCATCGTCTTGTTACGTGATCTAGTGATATACTACTCCAAGATGGTCCCCCCACTCCCACAGCTGGTGGCCTAAGATGAGACGCCCCACTCCCATAGCTGGTGGCCTAAGATGAGACGCCCCACTCCCTCAGCTGGTGGCCCAAGATGAGACGCCCCACTCCCTCAGCTGGTGGCCCAAGATGAGACGCCCCACTCCCACAGCTGGTGGCCCAAGATGAGACGCCCCACTCCCACAGCTGGTGGCCCAAGATGAGACGCCCCACTCCCACAGTTGGTGGTCCAAGATGAGACGCCCCACTCCCACAGCTGGTGGCCCAAGATGAGACGCCTCACTCCCACAGCTGGTGGCCCAAGATGAGACACCCCGCTCCCTCAGCTGGTGGCCCAAGATGAGACGCCCCACTCCCACAGCTGGTGGCCCAAGATGAGACGCCCCACTCCCACACCTGGTGGCCCAAGATGAGACGCCCCACTCCCACAGCTGGTGGCCCAAGATGAGACGCCCCACTCCCACAGCTGGTGGCCCAAGATGAGACGCCCCACTCCCACAGCTGGTGGCCCAAGATGAGACGCCCCACTCCCACAGCTGGTGGTCCAAGATGAGACGCCCCACTCCCACAGCTGGTGGCCCAAGATGAGACGCCCCACTCCCACAGCTGGTGGCCCAAGATGAGACGCCTCACTCCCACAGCTGGTGGCCCAAGATGAGACGCCCCACTCCCACAGCTGGTGGTTCAAGATGAGACGACCCACTCCTACAGCTGTTGGCCCAAGATGAGACGCCCCACTCCCACAGTTGGTGGCCCAAGATGAGACGCCCCACTCCCACAGCTGGTGGCCCAAGATGAGACGCCCCACTCCCACAGCTGGTGGCCCAAGATGAGACGCCCCACTCCCACAGCTGGTGGCCCAAGATGAGACGACCCACTCCCACAGCTGGTGACAGTAGCCTAAACTCTGGCGAACATCACAACCAAGTTCACCAAGGCACGATTCCCGTATTAAATGTAGAGCACCAAAAAGCCTCCTATGAATAAAATAAAAAATATAAATACATTTATGAAAAATATAAGCCCAGAGACAGGCGCAGCAAAACATACATATATATGTATTCTAATGTGTATGTATGTATGTATGTATGTATGTATGTATGTATGTATGTATGTATGTATGTATGTATGTATGTATGTATGTATGTATGTATGTATGTATGTAATCATTTTCATTATCTTATCCACTGATGGTGAAATACTGATGAAGAACCGTATCTTGAAGCACCTCAAGGTAACCATTCACATATATTCACCCGCATTCTGATATAAGAATGTAAGTTTAGCTCAGATTTTGTACGCGCGCGTGCGTGCACATACACACACACACACACACACGCACATACACATGCTCACACGCACACACAAAAATATTCCCTTGCAAAATACTTGAAAGAATAATTAGGCTAAGACTTGTTGAGCACCTGGAGAGCATTGGGTTTGTAAACAAGCATCAACATGGGTTCTGGACAGGGAAATCATGCCTAACAAACCTTTTAGAATTCTATGATAAAGTAACAAGGATAAGGCAGGACAGAGAAGACTGGGCAGACTGCATATTTCTGGACTGCCAAAAGGCCTTTGATACTGTACCGCACATGAGACTGCTATACAAACTTGAGAGGTAGGCAGGAGTAAGCGGAAAGGCCCTAGTATGGGGTAAGGAACTACCTAACAGGAAGGAGCCAGAGGGTAATGGTAAGGGGCGAGAAGTCGGACTGGCGAACAGTAACAAGTGGAGTACCTCAAGGATCGGTGCTGGGACCAATCCTCTTTCTAATTTATGTAAATTATATGTTTACAGGAGTGGAATCATACATGTCAATGTTTGCGGATGACGCAAAATTAATGAAAAGAGTTGTGACAGATGAGGATTGTAGGATCCTCCAAGAGGACTTAAACAGGTTGCAGAGATGGTCAAGGAAATGCCTACTGGAGTTTAACACCAGTAAATGTAAAGTTATGGAAATGGGATCAGGTGACAGGCGACCAAAGGGACAGTACACAATGAAGGGGAACTGCCTACCTGTAACGATTCGAGAAAGAGACCTGGGAGTGGACGTATAACACCTAATCTAACTCCTGAGGCACATATAAATAGGATAACGACAGCAGCGTACTCTACACTGGCGAAAATTAGAACTTCATTCAGAAACCTAAGTGAGGAGGCTTTTAGGGCGCTTTACACTGCCTACGTGAGACCAGTCTTAGAGTATGCTGCGCCATCATGGAGCCCCCACCTGAAGAAACACATAAGGAAACTGGAGAAGGTTCAGAGGTTTGCGACGAGGCTTGTCCCAGAGTTACGAGGGATGGGATATGAAGAGCGTCTGAAGGAACTGAACCTTACGACACTAGAGAAAAGAAGGGAGAGAGGAGATATGATAGGGACATATAAAATACTCAGGGGAATTGACAAAGTGGAAATAGATGAAATGTTCACACGTAATAATAACAGAACGAGGGGACATGGGTGGAAACTGGAAACTCAGATGAGTCACAGAGATGTTAGGAAGTTTTCTTTTAGCGTGAGAGTAGTGGAAAAATGGAATGCACTTGGGGAACAGGTTGTGGAAGCAAACTCTATTCATACTTTTAAAATTAGGTATGGTAGGGAAATGGGACAGGAGTCATTGCCGTAAACAACCGATGGCTGGAAAGGCGGGATCCAAGAGTCAATGCTCGATCCTGCAAGCATAAATAGGTGAGTAGAAATAGGTGAGTACACACGCACGCACACACACACACGGGCCCCAGCATGGAGCCCGTACCTTGTCACGCACAAGAACTGGAAAAAGTTCAAAGGTATGCCACTAGACTAGTCCTAGAACTAAGAGGCATGAGTTACGAGGAAAGGCTGCGGGAAATGCACCTTACGACACTGGACGACAGAAGAGTAAAGGGAGACATGATCACTACCT